TAAAAGCTTTGATTAGAATCATTGTTTTTTTATCATTTATTTTCATAGGAACAATCATTGAGGCTTCTGTCCGACTCCCATTCGCACCGTTGAAGTTCGCGTTAACAAAATAAAGCGCCTTCTCAGCCGAACCATTGAAATATTAGATTACTGTTGTCCTAAGAAAAGTTCGAAAAAAATGATATAAATTTCCGGCATCCATATTTTGAACACTAGAGTCAGCTCCTCACGATCCACTGATTTAGACTGAAATCACCCTCCGATAAAAGTTGTTTTTCCTTCCCTCCGTTCCCTATTTAACCCACCATAAACTCATTCACACTCTCACTTCCAGCTGCCTTGCGTAACTGGCTTCTACAGAACTATCGTTCTTTATTCTTTACTTTTGACTTCTTTGCAGCTTTCGTGAAATTATTAATAAAAAGACTTGTCTCTATCGAAATCACAGGTTCATTATGGATTTAATCAGCTAAAACAGTTAAATTAGCAAAGGAGAAAACATACATTTCCGTTTTTCATATGACCTAATTCGGGAAAATGATAACACCAACATCGCTATTAACTAAGGTTTGAACTGCCCTCAGCTACACAATGCATAAGGCTTGTTAAGCTTCGTTGAATTGTCATACACAGACGGTTTTGTCTGCACTTGAGAGCTTAAAACACCCAATTCATAGTAGTACAGATTATGTAGAGTAAGATATGCTTTCCTTTTTTTCTCACGCTATCGTTTATTCATGCAGATTGAGAAATCAGAGTCACTTTATAATGCATAATGAGTACTACATTTATCTCACGTACCTCGTATACATCGAACTGATGTTTGCAGGGCTTCATCGATAAACTGAGAGCACATGTTATCATTACAGATTGTTCTTGTAGCGTTTGGTTATCTTTGTTTGCCTATAATTTAAATTAACACTGGGCTAAAAAAGTGAAATTTTAAACAAATGAACCACATCAAAGTCGATTAATCCGATCAAAATTGGCTGCACCAGACTTGCTTAAATCTCTCGTTTTCGCCATGCCGGACATAATTTTGAACTGGATAGTTTACGTTGACATAAAAAGAAAAATTGTCAAAAGAAAAGAACACCCTCTTCACATAGATACAAAGGTTAAGGTCAATGTATTGACAACTCACCGACGAGAAGCTTTCCCTGACTCATTCCCTGATAACACCCTGCTTTGACTTTGTGTACTCAGTAAAAATTTATCGAGCCTTCATTTATGTAGTCCAAGAACACTCTGGAATGATCTAGCCATGTGTCCCAGTATCATAGTCGAGACTTTGGGCGTTCAAACAAGAAAATTTAGCAGTGAACTCAAGTGCCTTGCTTTATCAGATGGAATTGGAAGTACCATGTTTTCAGCTTCGTTAGAAGTGTTAAAACATATTGCGTATCCTGTTTTAAGTTAGTCTTTTATTTTTTTTAAAGCACAACATGAAGTAGGTTCGCGTGACCCACATTTCTGTGCCTTTCAACACATTTGTAAAAAAAGAAAGTGTCTAGGCTTTTTTTTCACCGACATGAAGTACGCAGTACGTTTACGAAAAACAAATCGCGATAAAGGTCTTATAATAAAAGTGGATGGATTAGGTTTGATAATGAAACTCAATGTGCTCAGAAGTGTCTGTTGAGTTTAAGTCAAGTGAGAAATGGGTTTGCATCTTTCGATATTCCAGCTAAAACCTAAGCACATGCTAACATCACAGTCTAAACTTACGTCACAAAAAATCTGACAGCGTTGTAGTTGTACTTCCATGTCTATGCAGCGAGTTGTGTATTTTTGGTGGATGTAACGAGTTGGAGAGAATAGGGCACACCAACAAATTAGTCTTAATTTCGTGGGAAAAATGAAGAAATTGTCTAAGATTAACGAAATATGTTTGATTAAACAGCTGACAATTTTGTTAATTGAATTATTAGCGGAACTGTTTTTAGCTGAGTAATATATTACTCAGCTAAAAACAGTTCCGCTAATAATTTAATTTCGACGGGGGTGACCTGGGATATCTCATAACGCATTTATGCCACAGGCCTTCCCCTACAGACTGTTTGGAACTTAGTTGGATGTTTATGTCTACAAATATGTGACACTTCATTTTTGTCATCATGGTGAAAGACGTGCAATCTTTAGAAAGCAAAACAACATTCTTTGCATTTGTTATTTGCCCGATGAAACTAAACACGAAAACATCCCTGGTTTTTACGAATGGTTTGCGAAATTTGCATTTGATGATCATCCTCCTAAGTCAATGAAAATGATTGATTAATTTGGTGTCTTATTCCCTGTCTGTTATCAAGAGAAAACAATCTTATTTATTTAGATGCAAGCCAAACGATATTACCTAACCGATGAACACTGATGAATTTCCGTTGTAGCCATTCGCTATTGCCACGCGCAGTTATGGAAGCATAGGCTCTTTGATATGTCACTCACGAGGTTGGCGGTCTGGTAGCAATGAGCTGAAATTGGATTTCAAAACTTATTGCACCTTTGGTCCATCATTACAACCACGGGAGTCCTCTTTTGAGAAACACGACGTCTCTAAGAAGCTCGACTGAAGAGCTACACGGCACTGAACTACTAATTAAGACATTAGCTCTGCCTTTCCCCTCAAACGAGTAATGATGCATCTTTATCTAATGACAAGGATAGCCCTGACCTGTGTTTTTCTAGACATGTACGCTCTATCAAGTGATACGAGGTGAGCTTCCTTATCTCATTTTTCCCACGGCTTGGCTCTCAAAATGTTCATTTACATCTCAATTTTAACATCTCATCAATCCAAACCACGCTTTAGACTTTCAGGGTACGATATTCTAACCTCGAGACTTCCTTTGGAGGTTGATCCAATACTGAACCTCAACACCGTTTGCAAGAACACACCGTCTTTAAACAGAGAACAGCTGGAACTTTGTAAAACGCAAGCCGATGTTGTTGCTAGCGCGTTACAAGGAGCTCAAATGGCTGTACATGAATGTCAAGAACAGTTTGCCTACAGAAGATGGAACTGCTCGTCCTTGGAGACCAAAAACAGCAATCCTTTGACAAGTGACTTGTTAGCGAGAGGTTAGTACGTACAAGTATAAGCACGCAGGCTTATTATGCTGAGCACAAATCCGGCTTATATTCTCAATTCTGAACGTTCCTGGTGAGGTTATTTATCTATTTCAAGTAAGCGGCAAATCACAGAAAAGCACACCACTGTGTAAATGCTATTTAGCATTCAGGAAAGAACTCTGGTTTTAGAAAAAGTTGCAGGGATTATTGAAAGAAAAACAAACAAGAGATGCTGTTAAATGGCGGAAGACTGGAAATGTTTGGATGTGACCTAAGGCCTTTAATCTTTCTTTCTGTCGCTCCTTTTTTTATCGTGCTTTTAGCCTCATCATTTGGCAATTCTTAATTTAGCATCATAAGCATCGTGAAAAAACAGGTTCCTCTACTTTAAAAAAGAGGTGTAAATATAAGTCACGCGGTAGAAACCATTACGCTTATGATTGTGACATGGCTTCCACCAGAGTGCTAGGTCTAGCATAACAAATAAACACTCTTGTAAAGGTAAACATGCCGAAGAAGGATTTGACTGGCCTAAGTAGATTACTGCACTGCAGCATATGTTAGCCCTTTCGATCTCATCCGATTCAGATCCTTAGGCTCGTTGTTTCAGCGAAGTGAAATGTCCTCTCGAAAATTTTAAATTCCTCTTAAAATGGAAAGCTTGGTGCAGACCTTGATACTTAACAGAAGAGTCTTAATCCGTTCATTAGAAATTTGTCCTCCAGATCTTAGACGCCTAAGAAAGCCAAACGCCATCATGATGAAGAGAAACTTTTTAAGTTCCGACATCCCTATCGACATTAAACTGATTTATCTCACTTGAAATACACTAAGTGCTTTTTGTTACCCGTTGTATTTACTGATCGCGACGGAGACTGTGCTGTGGGGCGGTTAAGAATCAAACACATACTGCAGATTGTAAGGTTTGTGCTGCTACGTCCACCTTTTGTCTAAATCGTAACCCCATTCTGATCTCTTCTCTTTTTAGGACACAATTTGTTTTACATTATAAAACGGGGCACTTTCTGATCTTTGCCTATATCTTCACCTGTGCCACCACTAAACGCTTCCGGTGTTACCTGACAATCCTATCTCTGATCGCCATCAAGATCTTGCCTTAATGTCCCAAATTTATTTAATTAACTTGCAGGTTTTAGAGAGACAGCTTTTGTGCACGCTATCATATCTGCCGGCATGACACAAGCAATTGCAACATCGTGCAGCATGGGTAAACTTGGAACGTGCGGATGCGACGAAACCGTTAAAGGAGAGGGTCGAGGCTGGAGCTGGGGCGGATGCAGCGACAACGCCGTTTACGGTGCCGCTTTTACTGCCGATTTTATGGATTCTCGAGAAAAAGGAACAGATATAAAATCGCTGATGAATCTCCACAACAATCAAGCAGGACGTCTGGTAAGAAAAGCAGCCCTTTGTAATTTTAAGAAAAGCAGCCCTTTGTAATTTTTAGACAGCCACTGAATCTCAAAGAGGTGTCAAACACAGGTCTGACACATTTTATTGAATCTTTATCCACTCGGAAAATTTGAATATCAAAAATAAAACATCGTGACGCAGAGGTAGTCCCCAAACGTGCCATTCGAATGGCTACCTGAAGGGGATGAATCCGCCAGCCGAAAGGTCAAAATCACACGGTTCGATTCAACTCGACTCAAGAGGAATTACGATGTCCGGCCACAACAGAAGTCTTCCCTCATTGTTTCATTATATCAGGCTACCCCAACACTTCGGCGGTACCTGTGTGTCATTCTGTCTGCTGAATGGCTCTTATGAAGTTCTTCAATGTTTCATAGAAAGATTTCACGTTAGGCATGCTTTGTGTTGGAATATTTGCATGCAGGGTCAGAGATGTGACACATTTGTTTCACGTGTCGGGCAAACTCGACACGAACGCTCCAAAAAGGCACGGAATGTTATAATCCTTCTATAAATTTTAGCTTTTGCTCTATAATACGTTACTTCATTGTCTAAAATAGATAGTGCAGCAATTTTAGCCATATTCGTGTATCTTATCGGATTGTGTGGATGGTACAATGTTTTGGCACTTTCAGAGTAATTGGATTTTCACATCACTTCCTAGAGCTGCCCATTCAATGCATTTTGTGGTGTTATTTTTGTGGCCAAACCGCTTCAGAGTACTTATTAAGTTTTTAAGTTTTAGTTTATTGAATTGTTCGAAAACAATTCATTCAAATAGTTGTTGTTTCAGCAAGAGTTGCTCATTAGCAAATTCATCAAGGGTTTGCAACGTTGAAGAGGCTGTTTGATAAATATACCTATTAATGTACCACTACTACCTTTGAGTATACAATTGGTAAAGGACTAGTTTTAAAATAGATCTGTCGGATTCTGATCCAATTATTAAAGGTGGTTCCAAGCCCTTTTAAAAAAGGCGTGAATTCCCCTGCCATCGCAATAGTTTAAGTAGAAGGTCTGGAAGTACTTGACATAAGAATGGTAATTTCCTATTCGGGAATTAACCTCGTTGCTTGGTACATTTTCGCTTGGGGAGACTTTCATGTTTTCAGATTATCCCTTGCTCTTATATCTACCGACGATAATGAGTAAATCTGGAACTAATACCGGCCGGTTAATTAGCTGATTTACAGAAGGCATAAAAGGGCCGAGAAATTCCCGCTGTGTTTGTATCAATTGGCTTAATAGCTCTTTAAAGACGTCTGTGTATCAATGGGACCGGGCGGGCGTGTGAAAATTCTATACACATTGCGTTCATTTATGAAGTTCAAAAGGGCATCTCTTAAAAAAAGCAGGAAAATTCCGAGATAATTAGAACCAGAAATTTTGGATAAAAAGATGAGCATCAAGAGAGATGTAGAGCGAAGTAGTTTAGTATCGAACAGCCCGTGGGGATACTTCCTAGAAATAGGCTTAGGTAGATGTACCGTTGGATTGAGTCGAATTTTCACTAATGGATTGACTGTAGATAATGAAGTTAAATTTTCAATGAAGTTTCTAGAATGGGGTCACACATTTTCGGGATTTCGGGGTTAAGAAAATTCTGGTAAGTAGGAATTAAAAAATGGAAAGATCTGCGGTTAAAGAGTTGTTATATATCTAACTTGTCAATTAATTTCAGGATGACTTACTCAAAAGGCTTTATAACGCAGATGAATGAACAGAAAGTGAAAAAAATAACATGTGACTAAGATGGGATCTATAATCTGTAATTGGGCACCGAATAGACTTAAATGCGGTAGGGCTTCTGAGAGGCCAGCGGGCACATACCCAGCAAAAAATTGAATCAAGTACCCCCCCTCCCCAATAACGCTGTCCTTTATCACACATGCGCATATCGCGACGTCAGATTCTCTACTTAAGTAAAATCATCGTTGGCTTTAACACTTTTATTTTCATCAAGTTGTTAGGTTTTTTTGCAGGATAAAGCTCATGTTGTTATTAAAAATGAGGAAAAACACACATTTGCAAATCTAATTAGCACAAACCGTTTTTAGTCGCATGAGGGACACCTAGGCACCCTTGTGGGTTTGTCCGTTGAAAACAAAATACACATGTCAAAGCGTGGTAGACCTTCGTTATGTATCGATCGAGTTTAATATGGATGATTGCTAGAACAACAGCAAATGAAATATTGCTTTTGACATATGAAATGGAGTGGTACATCTCTACTTTACGAGATGTCCTGTGCGTGCTCTTACTTAACCTACTTTCGAGAAAAAAACAGAAAATACTTTCAGCTTAGAACTATACCAATCCACTGTTCTATTGATTTTGTGACAAGTTCATGGAAGTCCTTTATTTATAATGATTCTTCAAACATCTGTAGTAGAATGGTTGATCAAAACACTTGAGAAGAGAGGTTATTTATCCATAATTGCTGATTTTCAGTTCAAACCAGCCGTGAGTTGTGGGCTGGTTTAAGAGCCAAGTAAACTCTTTAGGCGAGTCAGTGGATTTATATCAAGACAGTTTTGAACCTTTTTCTAATCTCCTTCTTCAAAAGCCCTTGTGTATCATAATTCAAATAAAAGCTACTTTACAGTAGTTTTCAGTGGTACGACACATCGTGTGGCTTAATACCCATTGAATCGTGGCTAAAGCCCTAGAGCATGACTATCAGTAATTGACAAGACCAAGTTGATTTTTAAACCGTATGAAAACACAAGCAGAACGTTCATTTGCTACTATCCTGTACTTACAGTATTACAATGCAAAGGGAAACCTATATCATTTCTCCGTGGGCCTCTTTAGGAGAATTGGCAGTTTGGGGTCGAAGAAATGGAAGAAAGCGTAGGCAATCCATCCGCTTAAGGTGGCGCCCCCCCTCCCCCTCCCCCTCTATGGAAAGATTGTGATTGGCATGGACTCGCTGCGTTATTCGTACCACTTGGTGATTTACCGCTGATCGACTTTGAGTCACAACCTATGTACTCATTTTTACTGGGCCACACCTTCCTAAGAACATTTAATTGTAAACGGATCATTTTCATAAAATCCTTTTAATTCCAGAGACCATGTTACTCAATGGAGTGAAAAGAGTCTACATGATCCGCTTATGGGAGATTAGTTATTATTAAAATATTTCAAATGGAACTGATGGATTCATATAGATATCGATAAAGACACTTGACAACAGTGGCGGTTTTCTTTTATGACATGAATACCTCATAGGTATGCGGTAAACTCCGGAAAGCCGAAACAAAAACATCGATCCACATCGGATCATGTCTATGTGTTAATGCTTAAAACATGATCATCCCTAAAAGAATGCGTTGCTGATAAACTGAAAAGACAATGCACGTGTTATCCATTTTTCAGTGTGCTTTCTTGATCAATCTGCTTTACATTGAGGGAGGGACAAGAGGGGAGGTGAGGGAGGGGATGGGGGTGGGGGAGGGAAGTGGATCAAGGTGTCCCCGAGAGGTAATTTTGAGTGTTCACTTTAATCTTCTCGCCGGCTGTCAACTTGTTGTGGGTATTGCCCCCGCATGGCTTTAAATCACGATATTGTGTCAGATCTAAGAACGAATTCTTCGGATAACTTGAAGTTTTGTGAGCATGGATAAGGAAATCCTTTCATTAAGACCGTTATTAGCACTATTATCCACTAAAATCTGCACTTTTAATTTAGGAAATGAAAGCATTGTCCTCGTTCGACGTTCTCCGAGTCTGTTAATCTTTATTGTGCTTGAATTCCAAACTTAAGAACCGTTCGGGCATAGAAAAGTCTTCATTTTCTCCTCAAATATGGCAACTGTGGCACGTAACCTGCCGAAGTTTATGTAAAATGTTTCATTAGTTATTTACAAATGTTGCTTCGAGACTTGTGCCCCTAGGTACTGTAAACCTCCACATCGAAAATGTTAAATTTTCGGTGCAAGTGTATTTATTTTTTCACAAAGTTATCATGACGAAACTCAGACTTAGCGTGCTCACCCAGAAGACCATGTCCACCTCGCAGAGTAATGCTGAATTCGTTCGTTCTTGCTCTGGCTCATAAGACGGTTGGTCTTCACTTCTTCGTTTCCTTACTTCCTAGTAAACTCGTTCATCTTTTCATTCATCCTTCTTTGCCTGCCTGTTTGCTTCCTTGTTCACAGTTTGCTGGGCCGTCTGCTTAGCTGCATCCTCTCAAAGGAAGTGTGGTTTAGGTGGGGGAAAAATGGGCTGATGAATGCCAGATGAATGCCGCTCTCATATGGACATCTTTGTAATCTCACGTTTTCCAACCACGAAATAATACGAATTACTCAGCTGCTCCATAGGAGGTCCGGGACCCGTTTCCCGAAAGTCCCGCTAACTTAACGGGCCCGTAAAGCTGTTCTGTTTTCATTCAAGATGGGAATTTCAAAAGTTTTGAAAAGGATACAATAAAACTATCAGCTAAAGAAACAAAAAGGAATGGTTTGGATGTCATAACCTGCTTTCCCATCTTTTAAATTTTTATTTTAAAAGATGGCTTCGGGCCCGTTAAGTTACCGGGACTTTCGAGAAACGGCCCCTGGAGTTTAAGACACGTGGTTGTTGGTGTCCTTTCACAAAGTACTGTCGAAGCGCAGGCGTATATCCGATTCCTCTCATGTAGACTTCAAAAGTATTTGAAAAGCAGTTGAAAACACTTTTAAGACACTTCCGAGACTTAGAACACGCAGATATGTGTTTATTTAGAAATACTTCGTATGGAAAAATAATCAATTTATCCATTCGTTTATTGACAGGCTGTTCTCGTCCACATGAAGACTAAGTGAAAATGCATTGGAGTGTCCGGCTCTTGCAGTTTGAAAACTTGTTGGAAGACTGTTCCAGAATTTAACGAAGTCGGAACAATTCTTAAGGAGAATTACGACTATGCAATCCTTATTCGGGTGAGCAACAGGAATCGCGGCAAAATAAGACCGCTACAGCGGAAAACAAAAACATTCAAACACGATGAGTTCCGAAAAAATCTAGTCTATTACGAACCCTCGCCAAGTTACTGTGATAAAGACGACTCGCAAGACATACCTGGAACTAAAGGACGAATGTGCAAGGTTGATTCTCTAGGAAGCGACAACTGTGACACTCTCTGCTGTTCACGAGGATACAACACGATACACGCCACAATAACGAGAAGGTGTCGCTGCCACTTTAACTGGTGTTGTTATGTCTTGTGTGAGGAGTGCGTGGAGAAAGCGTGGGTAACCATCTGCAAATAGTAACGTTAGCCTCTTCTTGACTGTGCTATATAGTGTAACCATGTTTATCACAGTATCAGCTGGAAAACTCTCTCGCCTCGTGTTAAAAGACAGTTTCTTCTCAAAGGGGAAAGCTTTTCCTCTAGAAGTTCTTCCAAGTGAGTGGCCATTTGGCGTCGCAAGCCTCGATAAGCATTTCGTGCGGATGGTCTCTTCAGAACCATATGCAAGAGAACCTTTTCCGATAGTGATGAAGATGG